GTAACGGACTGTTTCAAACACAGGATGATAAAGATAAACCTCACAGTAACCACAAAGAAAATTAACAAAGCTATCCCCAAAATAAAGAAGAAAATCAAAAAGACTCAGTAAACACAAAATCGACAAAAACGAAGGAAAGGAAAACACAATCCATGAACAGAAAGAACTCAGCACAGAAAATTCAGCGAAACAAAGAAACTGTCAACTTCACAAAAAAAAGCATAACGAAACGACAGCAGTAAATTCATATCTATTGATAATCACACTGAATGTAAGTAGGCTAAATACAACAGTGAAGAGACAGAGAGTGGCAGAATGGGTTAAAAAAAAAAAACACGACCCATCAAAATGTTGCCTACAAAAGACACACCTCAGATAAGACACAAAGACATAAAGAGGTTAAAAATCAAAGGATGGAAAAAATATATCGAGCAAACAGTAACCAAAAAAGAGCAGGAGCAGCAATATTAATCCCCGATAAAACAGACTTTAAATCAAACTCCATCGTAAGAGACAAGGGAGGACATTATATAATGATTAAGGGGTCAAGCCACCAAGAGGACATAACCATAATAAATATCTACGCACCCCATGACAGAGCTCCAAAATACATAAAACAAACCCTGCCAGAAATGAAAAGCAGAAATACACAGTTCTACAATAGTAGTAGGAGACTTTAACACACCACTTTTGACGACAGAACAACTAGAAAGAAACTCAGCAAAGATACAGAAGATCTAAATACCACAATCAATCAGCTTGACCTCATATACAGAGAACTCCACAAAAGGAAACATACTGTATGAGGCCACTATTAGAAAACCTTACAAAAACTCAAGAAAAAGTTTACACATAGACACAATCTTCAGTGGTTATGAGCGAGGGAAGGGGTGGGGGGAGATCACCAAGCACACAGTAGGCAAGTGTTAATTTTGGTGAAGGGAAGACAATAATACACAATATAGGGGAAGTCGGCACAACTGGACCAAGGCAAAGGACGACACTTAGAGGAACACAGCAAAAAAAAAAAAAGAAAAAAAATAGAGGTACCCACGGCAAATACTACAGCATATACAACCATACAACAACAGTAAAAACAGTAACTCGCAAGCAGATACAGAGGCAGATCTGCACGCTGAGTGGGGGAAGGAGGGTGTACAGGAGCATACCCACGTAAATACATAGGTTAGGCTGGATATTTTTACATATATATTCGTATGTAGAGCATGTATATTCATATATAAAATAGAGCACAAAGGGCACAGTCATAGAACCTTCCGAGACACATTCAAACGCCTTGAGGAACCAAATTTCTGGGGCTGAGGACTGTTGACCATGGTTTCGGGGGACATCTAGGTCAACTGGCATAACATAGCTCACAAAGAAAATGGTCTACGTCCTGCTTTGGTGAGTAGTGTCTAGGGTGTTAAAAGCTTGTCAGAGGCCATCTAAGATACATCTACCGCTTCCATCCTGTCTGGAGCAAAGAAGAATGAAGAAAACCAAAGACACAAGGAAAACATTAGTCCAAAGGACTAATAAACCACAGCCTCCACCAGCCTGAGCCCAGAAGAACTAGATGGTGCCTGGCTACTACCACAGTAGAGGGCCCTGGACAGAGTGGGAGAAAAATGTAGAACAAAATTCAAATTCACAAAAAAAAACCAGACTTACTGATCTGACAGAGACTGGAGGAACCCCCAAGACTATGGCCCTCAGACACCCTGCTAATCAGAACTGAAACCACTCTCCAAGTTCACCTTTCAGCCAAAGATTAGACAGGGCTATAAAATAAACAATAACATACGTGAGGAACGTGTTTCTTAGTTCAATCAAGTACACGAGACCAAATGGGCCACACCTGCCCAAAAGCAAGACAAGAAGGCAGGAGGGGACGGGAAAACTGGACGAATGGCCATGGGAACCCAGGGTGTAAAAGCGGAGAGTGCTGACACATTGCGGGGATTGCAAACAAAGTCACAAACAATATGTGCATACATTTTTGAATGAGAAACTAATTTGCTCTGTAAACTTTCACCTAACGCTCAAAAAAAAGAGCCGAGAGGAATCAAGTCTGTGGATCATTCAAACGTTAAAAACGACAATAACAATTCATATAAACTAAAAAGAAAAAATTGCCATCGAGTCAATTCTGACTCACAGAGCCGAGTGCTTAACAGCTGGCCCCACCCAAGGCTCCTACTCTAGGCACAGCAATGACTAAAAAGCACTCACTACAAGTGACTCGGGGCAGTGGTGGCTCAGTGGCAGAATTCTTGCCTTCCACGCAGGAGACCCGGGTTCAACTCCCGGCCAGTGCACCTCATGTTCAGCCATCACCCATCTGTCAGAGGAGGCTCGTGTGTTGCTATGATGCTGAACAAATTCCAGCAGAGTTTCCAGACTAAGACAGACTAGGAAGAAAGGCCTGGTGATCTACTTCCAAAACTCAGCCAGTGGAAACCCTGTGGATGACAAGGGTCTGATCCCATTGTGCATGGGGTCGCCATGAGTCGAGGACCGACTCAGCAGCAGACAACAACAACAACAAAAGCAACTGAATCAGAACTCAACTACATAAATATCCTGCTGGCAAATGTCTCCTGAAGTCAGCAGGGGTCCAGACGCTTTCATCAAACATTAGATGCGGGGGCACTAGAAGAGTTACTGAAGAGATCATTCGTTTGAGGGATCAACACCATCTTCAAGGCTTGCGTTCCAAGCTGGTAGCCCCAGTAGCCCCGGTGATCTCAAGCCAGATCTGGTGCCCTGTCTTCCCCAAGAGTGAAGGGAGAAGAAAGAAGCTGAAAGGGGAATGGACGGGAGGGAAGGAAAGAGCAGGAAACTATGCAGGAAGAGAAAAGCAAAGGTGGGCTGCGGAGTCACCAGGGACAACGCGGGTGTGGGGGAGGGCAACGATGGAGCATCAGCACCACAGGTGGTGTAAACTGAGTTTGTAATTTCTAAATGGCGGTTACATGTGTTACGACAACATAGGGCCCCTGACTTGTATTTCCCTGTATCTTTACACCCCACATCCTCTACCCTTATACCAAGACCCTAACTCTGGACCTGGTGGGACTATAATAATCAAGATGCCCAGAGCTCTGGGGTCACTGGGGCTACTGAGGGCTGAGACCACAGCAAGAGTGATGGTAATAATAAACTACTAACAGGTTTGGTGCTCTGGTGGCGCAGTGGTTAAGCGCTCAGCTGCTAACCAGGAGGTCAGCAGTTCAAATCCACCAGCCGCTCCTTGGAAACTCTATGGGGCAGTTCTGCTCTGTTCTATAGGGTCACTATGAGTCAGAATCAATTCGACGGCAGTGGGTTTGGTTTTTGATATTTTATTAACAAGTTATTAAGTGTTGAAAAGCAAAGATGTCACTTTGGGGATTAAGGCGCACCGGACCCAAGCCATGGTATTTTCAATACCTCACATGCAGGCAAAAGCTAGACAAGGAATAAGGAAGACAACAAAAGAACTGGTGCCTTTGAGTTATGGTGTTGGTGAAGAGTTTAGAATACACCATGGACGGCCAAAACAACGAACAAATCCGTCTTGGAAGAAGTACAGCCAGAAGGCTCCTTAGAAGCAAGGATGGTGAGACTATGTCTTCCATACTTTGGACACGTTGTCAGGAGGGATCAGTTCCTGGAGAAGGACATCATGCTTGGTAAAGTAGAAGGTCCGTGAAAAAGAGGAAGACCTTCAACGAGATGGACTGACACAGTGGCTGCAACAATGGGCTCAAACACAGCAATGATTGTGAGGACAGCGCAGGACTGGGCAGGGTCTCCTTCTGTGGTGCACAGGGTCGCTGTGAGTCGGAATCTACTTGATGGCATCTGACAGCAACAACGTTAACATCTGTAAGTGGCAGAGAGGCTGGGAACGCTGATGAGAGAGCAACAACTAAGGAGTCAGTGTGTGAGACCGTCTGCCTTTTAATCCAGGGGCCACCCTCAGAGGTTCGGATTTAGTAGGCCAGCGGATGGGTCAAGGGGAGGTTACATTTCTAAACATCTCCCCAAACAATTCTTATGTCCACTAACATTGGGGAACCACTCATCTGTTGTTGTCAGAGCCCATTAGGTTGGCCCCAACTCATGGCGACCCCACGGGCAAGAGAAGGGAACGCTGCCTGGTCTGGCACCATCTTCATGATCACCGGGATGCTCAAGTCCATTGTTGTGGCTGATGTGTATTCTGAGTGCCTTCTACTGTAGGGAGCTCATGTTCCAGCACTACACTGGACAGTATTCTGTGATCCATAGGGTTTTCATTAGCTAATTTTCAGAGGTGGATTGCCAGGTATTTTCTTCCTAGTCTATCTTTGTCTGGAAGCTCCGCTAATACCTGTCCACCATGGGTGACCCTGCCGGTATTTGCCATACTGGTGGCATAGCTTCCAGCATCACAGCAACATTGAAGCTATCACAGCAGGACAAACTGACAGACGGGTGTCACGGCACTTAGTCTGGCAGAGTCCCAATAAGCAGCTGTCGGCTGCTCCCTGGCTGTGGAGAAACGATGTTACGAGCTGACAGGTCACGTCCCCGTTATCTCTAGAAAGGGCTGTGTGTATCCCAAAAATCACCCACAATTAACAGTGTTCACGTTTTAAAACTCCCAGACTCCACACAGCATCTCCAAGCCTCAGCGCTAAATGCCAGGCGTGAGCAACGTACTCCCTCCAGTTGCTTCTGTACAACCTTGCTGTGGGCTAGGGGTGGGGTGTGAAGGCTTCAGAAGAGGGGCAGATGGATGGAGGGAGTGGGGCCAAACTCGGCGCTTCTTGAGAAGACCTGAAGCCCTTCCTTCTACGCGCCCGAAACTCGGGCTGTGGGGCAGATGCCACAGACACAAACAAGCGGGGTTTAATTCAAGAGTCCACATTTTAGATTGTTTAAACATCTGGCAGAGACACAGGTCAAAACAAACTCAGAGAAAGCCCCATTCATTCATGCGTTCAGCACACACAGGAGGGACGGCCAACCTTGATGATATGAAGCTTGGGTAAGAGGTTGCAGTCAGCTAGGGTGAGCTCATCCCCATCCAGGAACTTCCTTCCAGAGACAGGGATGTCCTCGGCACTGTAGGGGTCTATCTCATCAGGCAGAGGGCTACTCAGGTAACCATCCAGCTTCTTCAGGGCCTTTAGCAGGTTTTTTTCATAAACTAAAACAGAAAAGCAAAAAAACAGTAAGCTATGCCACACAAGTCCGTGCCTCACTTCTCCAGATGTGGACGGAGGAAGGCGCTGGTTCCCCTTCTTATGGAGACCCGGGCAGGCAGCAGTGGGGCTGTGGGAAGGACGGGTGTGGATTTAGAAGCTCCGAGTAAAGGACTCACTGCTCACTGGAAAATAAATCTGCTGTCTACACAACGTTGTTACTTCCAGAACCCTTCTGTTAATTCAAAAATATTTCTGGAAATACTAAAATGATGTAGGTGCTGGCAGAACATCATTTAAAAGGATTGGAGGGTGCGTTTGGAAACACCTGGATGGTGATCATCTTCCCCCAAAAAATATTGTTTCCTGGGTTCTCGTTCTCTAGAAGCACTCGGTCATTGGGAAGATCGGAGGTTAGAAATATTTTCTAGATCTAGATACACCTCTTCAAAAAAAAACAAACCTGTGGTCCAGTCAACTCTGATTCATGGAGACCCCGTGTGTGTCAGAATAGAACTGTGCTCCATAGGGTTTTCAATGGGTGATTCTTCGGAAGTAGATCAGCGGGTCTTTCTTCCGAGGCACCTCTGGGTGGAGTCAAACCTCCAACCTATCGATCAGCAGCCGAGCAATGAGTGTGCAATTCATAAAAAAATTACAGGTGGGCTTGCTCTTACGTGGCCCCTTGACACCCCTCTCCACCCTGCAAAGTAAGTCAGAATTTCTGATGTCTTACAAGAAGCCACACTAGAGGCCGAGTGGAAATCCCTTCTAAAAACAGAAAACAGGACGATGGGGAGGTACTCACTGTCATTTGCATCCTTCTTGGTGTTTTTTATAAACGCAGAGAATTTGGCAAACACATCATTTCCTGCAGAGTTAGATTCAGGGTGTTGGGTCCCCAGCTTAGGGTACCTGGAAAAGTTCAAATTTGGAATATCACAGACAAGCAATCTTTGAGTTGTGGTGATACAATGGGGAGAAAAAGTCTCGTGCTGGACACTCAGGTTTGATTCCCGAGCCGCGCAGCCACCACCCATCTGCCAGTGGAGGCGTGTGTTGCTATGATGCTGAACAGGGTAAAGCAGAGCTTCCAGACTAAGTCAGAGTAGGAAGAAAAGCCTGGTGATCTACTTCTGAAAATCAGCCAGTGAAAACACTATGGAGCACAATGGTCTAATCTCGCTGTGCATGGGGTCACCATGAGTTGCAAACCCCTTAAATGTGTCAGCACTCTCCCCCATTTCCTCCCTGGGGTCCCCGTGTCCATTTGCCCAGCTTTCCTGCCCCTACCATCCTTCCAAACTTTGCTTTGGGTAAATGCTGCCCTTTAGGTCTCATAGAGTTGATTGTTCTGGAGGTGTACATCCCTCACTGGTGTTATTGTTCATTTTATAGGCCTATTGTATGGCTATAATGTGATCTCTGGGAGTGACTTCAGTTTCAAGTTTGAAGCGTGTCTAAGGGCCATAGTCTCGGGGGTTCCACCAGTCTCTCTCAGACCAGTAAGTCTGGTCTTATTTATGTGTCTGAATTTCGTTCTACCTTTCTCTCCACTGTGTCCATGACACACTACAGTGGTCCCGGTCAGAGTAGTCGGTGGTGGTAGTCGGGCACCATCTAGTTCTTCTGGTCTCAGGCTAGTGGAGGCCGTGGTTCATGTGGTCCATTAGTCTTCTGGGCTAACTGTGCTCCACTGGCTTTTCAGTGGCTGATTTTTCAGAAGTAGATCACCAGGGCTTTCTTCTGAGGTACCTCGAGTGGACTCGAACCTCCAACCTTTTGGTTAGCAGCCAAGTGTGTTAACTATTTGCACCAGCCAGGGACTCCAGCGTACCTAAGAAATGGCTAATCTACAGAACGCCACCCCACCTCCTCCCCACTTCCTGCCTTCAAGCTCTAATTGCCAAAGGCAGACGCAGAGCAAAGAAATCCAGGCCACCTGAACTCAAGTGTTCTAATCTTGCGCTGTGTTTTCTGCGGTTCACCACCGACGTGGCTAAGGAAGTCAGTGCACAGGCCCCAGGAAACCAAGCACACAAAGCCAAAGGCTCTTGAATTGTCTTTTAAGGGGAAAAAAGTGACAAACGGGTTGTGAACACCAGCTTTAGGAGGCCTACCTCGGGGGAGCTAACTTCTCCTCTAAGAACTCCTCGATCTTATTCACGTCCGTCTTGACTTCGCCATCAAAAGTCATGAAAGGGGGGTTGGTTCCAGGCGCCAGGTTCTGCAGGTCCGCTGGCTTCCTGGGTGGCGTAAACAGCAGTGTTTGTAGGCAGGGGCTGCATCTGGATTCACTCCCAACGCTTAGCTTCGCCCGCCCCAATTTAAGAGAAATAACCCTTGAGAACTTCAAAGCAGATTGTGGGTTTACAAAGTGTTTTACTGGCAGTGAAAGCAAATGCATTTGCAAAAAAGTTACAGGCTGGAGTCTCCCGTGTGGCCCCTGCTTTGGATACACGGGTGAAAATGCTCCCCAGAGTTCTCAGCGGGAGAGATGCCCAGTTAGGCTTCTGACACACACGGTTGACCAGCAACTGGGAGAGCAGCTTCCTCATGATGCTGCCGGCCCTCCCCTTCCAGATTACACCCTGTCCCATCCTGTAATGTCACTGCGGGCCGCACGTGGGTTTTAGTTCAGGCTTCTGACCAAGAACAGACACTGGCCATGGTATAGCCCACAGGTCCTAGGGGTGTGTGTGCGCCTGAGTGTGTGGTGTGTGCATGTGTGTGTCTGCATGCGTGAATGTGGCGTGTGTGCATGCACGTGCATATGTGGATGTGCACATGTGTGGATGTGTGTGTGCATATGGATGTGTGGTGTGTATGTACGCGTGTCCATGTGTGTGTACATGGGCGTGCATGCATGTACGTGTGTGTGTGCATGTGGGGTGTATGCATATGTGTGGATGTGGGGTGTGTGGATGTGTGTGCATCTATGTGCCATGTGTGGATGTGGGGTGTGCATATGTGTGTGTACGTGTGTGTGCATGTGTGTGTGCACATGTGGATGTGAGGTGTGCACGTGTGTACATGTGTGTGCATGTGTGTGTGCACGTGTGAATGTGGTGTGAACACATGCATGTGCACCTGTAGGTGTGGATGTGAGGTGTGCACGTGTGTACGTGTGTATATGTGTGTGCATGTGTGTGTGCACGTGTGGATGTGGTGTGAACACATGCATGTGCACCTGTATGTGTGGATGTGAGGTGTGCACGTGTGTACGTGTG